GCTTGAATAGTATCGTAACATGCAAAGGTTGCCAGTTTGCTTCTGGATCTAATTCAAGGTATTGATTTATTTCTTGTACATACCAGTATGCATAGTATGTATATGTATGTGTTTATATGTATGTATGTGTGTTTTATTTGTTTATTAGATTTATGTGCCTCCCATTCCATCTCATTTATCACCTTTAAATACTTTCATTACCTGTGGAGCCGTCTCACCCCAGTGGGATTAGTCCACTGCAGTCACTCCAGCAGAAGGGGTATGCTGCAGGCTTTAATTCTGGCTAGTGATGTCTATGAAAAGAGCCTTTTCCACTGTGACCCCTTCCCTTGAAAACATCTGGCCCCTGGAGGTGAGATTTGCCCACATCCTCTTGGCCTTCCAGATGGGCCTCAAAGCCTGACTCACCCAATTGACTTGCCATTTCAGTGAGGCACTTTACATTGGAGGTGGATGGTCGTTGTTTCTAAATGTCTGCTACACTGGATATTTTAAACTTCTTTTGTTGGTCCTGGCTTTGCTTGAAATGGTTGCTACTGGATGTTATTTTATCATACTTTCAAGGTTGCTTTTACGCTCAATGCGCTGCCTTGGGAAGGACATGATCTTGGAAGCTGATGAAAAAAATAAATTGAACAAATACATATTTGTTTGAAAGAGTCAGTGCTGAGAGATAACATGACCATCATTCCAAAGTTATGTGAAAGAAAACTTCTGATAAAGCAAAAACAACTGTCCATTGATTTCCAGATATCAAGATAAGGACCAAAGGAATAAAGCGCTCTTAAAGGATCCCAACACAGTACTTAATGTAGTTGGTCATGTGAAAGGAGCAAAGACAAAAAGTGAACTTGCTTGTTTTCCACTTCCTCTGATTATGTTCTTTCTCTCAGTAATGTTGGTTTCTTCTCATAACTTTCCATGGGTGCAGTCCCATGATCATTTATGAGTCTGAAATGTTCTTAGCGCTTAACATCTTTCTTTTTTAAAAAAATATTGCAGTGGTCATTGGGCTTTGCATTTCAATTTTGCCTTTCATCCTCTGGATAGATACAAGATTTCTTCCTAGAACAATTAAAATAGAACTTTATTATTTATTTCTTTTCCATTTCTATAGCGTACCCAACTCAATCAGTTATTCTGGGCGGCTTGCAATTCTAGAATTATAAAACAATTTAAAAAACATTAAAACAATAAAAACATCTGCAAAATAAATAAATAGATCAGATGATGCTGTTAACATGGCTCTGCATTTCATCCTACAACATCTTGAATCTCCAAATACCTACGCAAGGGTCCTCTTTGAAGACTTCAGTTCAGCATTCAATACCATCGTTCCAGACACTCTTCTAAGTAAATTAAACCAACTAGCAGTACCTGAACACACTTGTAAGTGGATCATAACAGACAGGAAGCAGCAGGTGAAGCTAGGCGGAATCACATCCGATACCTGTACAATCAGCACAGGGCTGTGTGCTATCTCTACTTCTCTTCTCCCTATATACCAATGACTGCATCTCAAACGATCCATCTGTTAAAATATTGAAGTTTGCTGATGACACAACAGTGATTGGTCTCATTTGAGACAACGATGAATCTGCATACAGACAGGAGGTTATACAACCTGCCTCGTGGTATAACCAGAACAATCTGGAACTGAACACACTCAAAACTGTAGAAATGGTGGTAGAAGAAACCCTCCCATACTACCACCTCTTACAATACTAGACAACACAGTATCAACAGTAGAGACCTTCACATTTCTAGGTTCTCCTATATCACATGACCTAAAATGGACACCTAACATCAAAAACATCATCAAAAAAGCACAACAAAGAATGTTCTTTCTGCGCCAACTCAGAAAGCTCAAACTGCCCAAGGAGCTGCTGATACAGTTCTACAGAGGAATTATTGAGTCTGTCATCTGCTCCTCTATAACTGTCTGGTTTGGTTCTGAAACCCAACAGGACAGACATAGTCTTCAGAGGATAGTTAGGATTGCAGAAAAAACAATTACTACCCACCTGCCTTCAATTGAGGACCTGTATACTGCACGAGTCAAAAAGAAGGCTGTGAAAATATTTACAGACCCCTCACATCCCAGACATAAACTGTTTCAACTCCTTCCCTCAAAACGACGCTATAGAGCAGTGCACACCAGAACAACTAGACACAAGAACAGTTTTTCCCCAAAAGCCATCACTCTGCTAAACAAATAATTCCCTCAACACTGTTCAACTATTTACAAAGTGTACACTACTATTACTGTTAATCTTCTCATCACTCCTTATCACCTATCCCCTCCCACGTATGACTGTATGACTGTAACTTTGTCGCTTGTATCCTTACGATTTATATTGACTGTTTCCTAGTATGATTTGATTGTTGATTGTACCCTATGACTATCATTAAGTGTTGTACCTGATGATTCTTGATTCTTAACGAATGTACCTTTTCTTTATGTATACTGAGAGTATTTACACCAAGACAAATTCCTCCTGTGTCCAATCACACTTGGCCAATAAGTATTCTATTCTATTCTATCTATCTATAAGCAAAAAAATTGCAGCTGTAATGATTAATTAATGAATACAGGCAGTCCTCAAGTTACAACAGTTCATTTAGCGACTGTTCAAAGTTACATCGCAGGAAAAAAGTGACTCATGACCGTTTTTCACACTTACGACCATTGCAACATCCCCATGGTCATGTGATCAAAATTCGGATGATTGGCAACTGGTTCGTATTTATGATAGTTGCAGTGTTCCCTATTTGCAACTTTCCGACAAAGTCAGTGGAGAAGCCAGATTAATTTAGCAACTGTGTTACTAATTGAACACTTGTAGTGGTTCAGTTAACTGTAGCAAGAAAGGTCGTAAAATGGGGTAAAATTTACTTCACGAATGTCTCACTTAGCAACAGAATTTTTGGGCTCCATCTTAATCATAAGTTGGAGATTACTTGTATGGACACACACTTCTATGTATTCTTTTATTTGGGGTAATCATTTATTTTTATTTTTTTGCTAATGGCTGCATTCTTGAGAATTACTTTAGTGGGAGCCAATAGATTTTGCACCAGATCAACACCCCCATGATTGGGGGAGGGGGGATACCAGAAATGAAAAGACTCTCGTGTGCCTGGTCACTTCCATTTGGGGGAGCCAAAACACTGAAATTGATGGGCCTGGAGGAAACTTTCGGTGCTTGCCTTTTTGGGCACCTGCTCTTGAAAAAGGAGTCCCTATTAGCCAGAAGGGATTGTATGTAATAAAGGATCAGACATGATTAGAGTAATATGCCCCAATTCATATTACTGATTAAGATGTTAAATTATGTCCTGAAACTTTGGAAACTTATTTTTAAGGAGTTATGGTTGTATCAGACCTGGGGTTTTGCAAAGAGAATTATTATGAGAAATTGATAAAATAGTAATATTCATGACACTAAAGACTGGATTTAAACGGGTGATAGTGGTGATCCCATAACCCTAACCCAGTCACCTGTTATTGCAAATCTGTTCATGGAAGAATTCAAATCCAGAGCCCTGACAAATGCCACCCACAAACCCAAACTATGGCTAAGATACATCGATGACACATTTGTTATTTGGCCCCATGGAAAAGAAAACCTAAACAGTTTCCTAACACAACTAAACAGTACACACCCCAAAATCAAATTCACCATGGAAATGGAAACAAACAAACAACTACCATTCCTAGATGTACTAATCTACAAAAAAAAAAACAGATGGCACACTAGGACACACCATATGCCAGAAGAAAACACACACCAACCACTATCTAAACACTCAATCCCACCACCACCCAACACAGATAAATTCCGTAGCCAAAACACTAATTGCCAGAACCAAACGCCTGGCAGACAAGACACACATAAAGACTGAACTATGCACCCTGACTAAAGTACTGACAGCTAACGGCTTCCACAAAAGCAAAATCACCTGCTTGATTCATAAAAACACACTGAAATACAATAGAGACCCAGAAGATGAACAAACCTATGGAACAGCTGTCCTGCCCTACATAAGAGGAACAACAGACAAAATCAGCAAGATACTACACAGGCATCACATCAAACTGCCTTCAAAACAGAAAGGAAAAATAGCAGCCATCCTAAGAAACCCCAAAGATAAAATTGACCTAGAAAACCAAGGCATATATGAAGTCCCCTGTGCATCATGCCCTGCCACATACATTGGACAGACCAATAGAAGAATAAGTACCCACCTTGAAGAACACAAGAATGCAGTAAAAAAGCTGGAACACACTTCCACACTAGTCCAACATATGAAAGCCACAGGTCATAGCATCAACTTCAATGGCACCAAAACCCTAGCTACTATAGAAAACCCCGGCTACAGAATCATCAGAGAAGCCATAGAAATTGATAAAAGACCTAATAGTATGAATAGAGGAGATGATTCCACCAGACTATCAATCATCTGGAAGCTTGCACTCACAAACAAAAAAAATCTCTATACCACAATCCAGGCAAGCACCTAGACACAAACAGACCCCCCTTAATACCTCCAGCCCAAACACGCCCCAGCCAGCTACCCAAATAAAACCTAGCTTCCTAATAAATAATTATCGGCCATTCACAAGAAACCAAGCTGCACTAAGAAACCCCAATGCACAAAACACAATGTTGCCAACCAATCAAGAACACAGCAACTTGAAGACCAATAAAAACAGACCTAGACTCCCAGCCAATCAGAATGAGGAAAAAACCATTCAAATAAAGCAGAAAGCCAGCACCAAATTCAAACAAAAAATGGCTGCCAAGCCTGACACACAAGATTAAAAAGAACCCAATACACAAGCCTGAGGATGGCAGATGAGATTCTGCCGAAACATCGTTATAATAAAAGCACAAATATTAAGATGAGGGAAAATACCCGAAGAAACCTAAATACCATACATATAAATACCCACAAAAACATAAGACAACACACATATATATATATTTATACACACACACACACACACACACACACTAAGGAGATACAGGCTGAAAGTAATTTTTTTTAAAGGCTAGTTTTGATGGAGCCCAATCACAGTGACTAGTAAGTTTTCCTGCTTTGCTTGTCATGGAAGACACTCTTCCACAGAACAAGT